TTTCAAAGTGCTGTATCATCAAATAAAAATAAATAAAATAAATTAACATAAAAAAATAATATGGAAAAACTTATTATAACGTCACTTCTTAAAAATATATTGAAGTAATTTAATCGGCACCAAAGAGAACCCATGAAATGAAAACATCAGCATAAATTCAATGGGAGTTCTTTGTGGTAAATATCAAACAAAATCTCCCCCCCCCCCCCCCTCTCATAATGTTTTCAAATATTGTGTGTGTTTGTTTATTTTATAATTTCATATATGATGATTTTCTTGAAATTATTATTATTATTTTCGAAATCATTTGAGCATATGAAGGGATGATGATATGAACATCTCAAATAAATTATAAAAATAGCTCACAACAACAATAATAGATAAAATTTGATGATCAATGGAACTAATTCACTGCTCCTCATGATGATGATGATATCATTCATTGTCAATATGCGCCGCCAGCACAGTTCAAAAGTATAGGGAATAAGTAATTAGAATTCCGTTCTTTTGAATATGAAATAAAGCGATCGACTAAATCAATACAATAGTTTTTTCTTTAATGCATTCTAATTAGGTCTGAACGGGTTTTTAATACTTTCTTAGTTATGCCCATTGACGTCTTTTAAAAGAAGAAAAGGAGGGGAGGTCGAACAAAGAGAGACCCCATGTACCCATATTTATGGATTAAAAAAATAAAAAAAAAAACACACACCCATGTAGATTTTTATACCATTGATATACACATTGATACGGAGAAAATGTGCCTCATCGAAATATTGGAGTCGATTTACCCATGTCCGTCCGTCCGTTGTCTGTCTGGCTGGCGCGCACGCTGACTATTGAAGACAGCAACCGGTTTCATTCAAAATGCGCACATCTTAATATGCCTTCCAAACTTAGTTTAGGTTTGAAGAGGGAGAATATCGGTCCACTCCTTCTGGTATCACCCTCAAAAAAATGATAAATTTTCGTTAAAATCGGATCCATAATCCACGATTAAAAACTCCAAGTAGCCATGAACAAAAATGATACAAAATGCATTTTTTTGTTTTCTTAAAAAAAATATGATTTTCATAAGCACAGATTTTTTAAATAAATTTTTTAAGAATTTTCGTTATGGCAGATTTAGAAAAAAAAACAATTATTTCATTTTCAAATTCATAAATTAAAAATATATATTGAATTTATTTCATTATTTTTAAAAAATCTACGTTTCTGATATTGGGTATATCCTCTTTTTTACGTCACACTTTTGAAAAGTTCTCAAAAATTAGTTTTGAAATATTCGAACTTCATCTAGCTCTTTAAAATATATGTTTTTAAGCCGCCCTTTCTAATAGCTCTTCAAAAATCCATACCACGAGCCCTTGAAATAAATGATTAAAAAAATCCAGGTTTTTAACTGACAGGTCTTCAATTAAATATTTGAAAAAAATACTCTATTCTGATAGTTTAAAAAAAACAGTCCGATTTTTTTCAAAAAATATTTTAAAAAGTCCTCGTTTTTAAATTATATTATGTTTGCTGATACCGTTGGCCTTCCCAGACTTCATAAACTGTCTTCTGTTTCCTCGAATTCCTAATTTCAAGTGGCAGATGTTATGGTCCACACAATAAAAATCACTCCCAATCGATTATGTTTATAAATTATGGCATGCACGTACATGGCACACGACATGTACTACTTGAAAGAAAAAAACAATCAACTCGAACACAAATCATCTTCAGAAATTCGATCTAAAAAATGACAAATAAAAACAACAAAAATCTAATTATACAACTTAATAAACAACCCTCGTTTCGATTTTATATACATACGTTCATGCCTTCGTTTGATGTTTTCTTCAAATTTAGAATGTAAACAAAAAATCACACACACACAAACATACAGCCCAACACGCACGCACCATAGCACAACAAAAAAAAATTCCAACAACATACACTTCGCATATGGTTTTAAAGGGAAAACCAGGTAACAACAACCATCATCATCATTATATTATGGACAGCATGATTGTTCACATAAGCAATAATTGTCATTTAACATGAATGAACGAGATTTACGAGATTGTAAAAAAAATATTGAAAGCAAAAAAAGAAATTCAATAATAACAACAATAACATACCAAAGCAACATACCTTTGAGTTTGATCGTCTTCGTTTGGCTAGTAATAGTTGGTGTTGTTGTGTCGTTTTCGGTTTTGGTTGTTGTTCGTGTTGATTATGTTTATGCAGAACAGCGGCAGTGGCCGAGTTAATGATAACTAAACGATTTTGTTGTTGTTGTAGGTTGCTTTTAGTATTACCAGCACTACAGCTACTATTATTGTTGTTGTTATTGGTGGACGAGAAGGAATGCTGCGTCGATGTTAATGATGTTTTTGTTGTTGCTGTTGTTGTTGTTATTATTGTTGAGGCATTGAAGGAAGCTAAATTGTTGTCTGGTATAGTTTTGGTATCTCTTTGACCGCATTTTTGCATTATGTATTACAACAACAACAATTTGTTTTTTCTCTATTTTATTTCATTGGATACTTCTCGGTTTCTTTTTTATATCCTTAAGATACGATGTTTATACATTTTTGTTGTTTTATTTCAATACAACAGCTGTCACAAAAAAATTAAACCAAACCACCAAACATACACACTCATGCACACATAGACGCACAAACTAAAGGTAAATATTTGTTATTTTTTTGTTTTATTTTTATTTTTTATACACACATTTTGTTCTTCTTTCGATTTACTCAACACACTACATTGTTGTTGTTGCTGTTTGTGTAGTTACTTGAATTTTTTTGCACACATACATTTTTTTGTCTCACTTAAAACTATGTTTCTTTGTACATATATAAATTATATAAAAAACAATACTATAAATTAGTTTCTTGTTGTATTGTTAAGTAATTTATGTGCTTTAATCGTTTTGTATTTATTTTTTTTACATCTTCTTTTATTATTTATTCACACGAAATGTAGAAAAAAACGACAGAAGAAACTATTAAAATATTGCATGTTGTTGTTCGTTCCACTGAAGAAAACTCGAATCGACTACAGATGTTTTTAATTTGACATGATGGCTCTCTGCCATCGTCTCACACACAGCCAAACTCTCTCTCGCACACTCTGTTGGATATGACAATTTTCTTTTGTTTTGTTTATCGTTGCCTTAACTGTTATCGATTTTGGTGATTATTTGGTAAATGTGAAATAGATATTCGAAAGTTTTCAACTAAATAAAAGAGAATGAGGTTAAAAATTATTTATATAAAAATAATAAAATAATTAATTTGGAATTAATAGAGTAACTACACATTTAATAAGATCAACTTATTATTATGTAAGAGGCAGAAGAGAAGGATAGAATTTCATATGAAACTTTCCTTGTTTAAATCGTAGTTATAAGGGCTATCTGAGCTATAAACGTTATAAGTGTGCATTTTTTAACTATTTCAAGGACTATCAGAGCTATAAACGTGAATTTTAATAATGTTTATTTCAAATACTAATCTAGCTATAAACTGGTCTATTTTTCCCATATCAAAAAGGAAAAATTGTTATCGAAGTAAAAAAAATTTACATTCATCAAGGTTCTGAAAGGACTACACGTAATTTTTTTGAACATTTTATTTTAAGAGATATAAGCATGGTTTTTTAACAATTTATATTAAGGACCATACAAGCCATAAGCGGAGATTTCTTAAACAATTTATTTAAATGGATATCCAGGCTATAAATGTGGATTTTTTAAAGAAATTTTTTCAATGGCTATCCGAGCTATAAGCCTGGATTTTTTAACCATTTCATTTTAAGGGCTGTCCAAGCTCTAAAGTGTAGTTGTTTTAAACAGTTTATTTTATAAACTATGTAAGCTACGATCAGATACTTTATACACAATTTTTGGATTTTTTAAGGAAATTATTTCAAGAGGTATTTATTTTAAGAGCTATCAGAAGCGTTGATCAATAATTTATTTTATGAGCTATCAGAAACGGAGGAGAAACGGATATTTTAACATTTATTGTTAAAATATCTTATTTATTAATTGTTATATATTTATTATTTTTTCCTTATTAACTCCTCTCCTTCCTGTCTCACGTCGCATTTATTATTTTAAACTGCATTTTTGGATGGCCCATTGAACCAAACGACTCGAATAAAGCGAATGACTTTTTCTTACCTAGTTCATTTCGGTTCATTTCAGTGAATTGTCCAATTGACACTGACGTTTTTTTCTTTTCTTCTTTTGACATAGCGGGGTTTTACACTGTTAGTGATTGGAATTGGTGTGGAGAGTTTTTTCTCTCTCTCATTGGTAAATTGGGAATAGAGTTGGAAAACATTGCCTCAGGTAGAAGTACGAAAACGTACTTAACATTTTACTTAAAATGATAATAAATCATAATTATCGAAAAATATTGGCCAATATTTATACCAGTTATTTGCATAAATAATATATGTTAGAATTTAAGCGTAAATATATTCACAAATAATAAAAAATCGACTTTTTGTTTTGGTACGTTTATGCCAATTCGTACCTTTTGTGAACAAAAAGTACGCTTGTTACAAAATTAAAAAGAGCGCAACTCTAATTACTCTCAATTTACCAATGAAAGGGAGAAAACACTCAACACCAATCCCAATCACCAAAACCCCGCATAATCTTGGGTATCCCTAACATGATTTTTTTTGTGATTGTGCTTTATCAGTTATGTTTTGAGGCCCATTTCTACTTCGCAACGCAACTAGTTCCATTAGTTCCTTCGTGAACTGTTCAGTATATGAGTGTATGTGTTGTTAGTCTCTCTCCCACATCTTTCGTAAACTTTTCTTATACCACTTTGAGCTCTTCTTTATCGGCCATTTTGTTTTGTCCTCCCATTCGTCAGCAGGTGGAACGATTTTCGCAGCGCCGAGGAATATATAGAAAATATGTTTAATCAGTTAAAACTTTAGAAAAACTGCATTTACTAACAAAAGCATTAAAGTGAAATTAGTGCATAATGTTAACAATTAGATATAATTTATTTATTACCTGTTTTTTATTTAGTTTATATTTTACATTAGTTGTAAGCTCAAACGGCGATAGAACTTCATTTTTCAATAATTGTATACGCAACTGTGAGAGGCAAAACTGTTCGGCAGGTTGGTGCTCCATTGGGAATTTTATTTTTATTTTTTTATTTAATAATTAAAAAATATATGATTTTGTATTTTTTCAGATGGTCTGGAGATCCAGGAGCAGGCTGTTAAATACTATCAGCAGAGTTTATTTGATAAATTGCTGCAATGGACCTGCCTGGATGAGTGTCAGTATGGATGTATGTGGCGTACAGTGGAAGCATTCCAGGATCGTAATTGGCCAGTGCCACAATTTTATGGAAAGGTAAGTAGTGTTGCTCCCAATAAAAATAATTCAAAAATCATTTTTTATTTTTCCTTTTTAGTGGCCATTTGTCCGATTCCTGGGCCTGCAGGAACCTGCCTCGGTTCTCTTTTCATTTTTCAATTTAGTGGCACATTTTCGTTGGCTACGAAAATTTCGCCGTGAAGTCCGACCCGATAGTCCATGCTATAAAATATGGCATTTGTTTTCAGCGGTAAGAGAGAAGTTAAATAAAACTAACCGGTACAATTTGAAGGGAGTATTTCAGAGAAGAGTTGAAGCAGGGAAAAAAGACATTTTTACAGACTCGAGCTGGAAGGAGGAGTCTTTATAGACGAGGTGAAGGGAGTCTTTTATGGACGAGCTGAAGGGACGATTTTATAGACGAGCTGAAGGAGTCTTTATATACGAGCTTAGACAGTTATTATATAAGAGCTGAAGGGAGCCTTTGTAGTGGAGCTGAAGGGTGTCTTTATACACGATCTGAAGGGAGTTTTTATAGACGAACTGAGGGGTGTCTTTCATAGACGAGCTGAAGGGAGATTTTCATAGACGAGCTGAAGGGATTCTTTCATAGACGAACTGAAGGGAGTCTTTCATAGACGAGTTGAAGGAAGACTTTCAAAACGGAACTCAAGAACTCCTGCTGAATAAGGTAGTCCTTCATAGAAGAGATGAAGCAGGGAGTCTGTCATAGAAGAGTTGAGTGAAATAGGTCAATATATGTAGGCTTGTTATGTTTCATAGAATAGGCTTGTTCCATAGTTCTGTTATTTATTATAGGATGCCTCTAGATCTCCTATAGTCAATAGAAGTCCCCTAGGTCTTGCTTAGGCAGTGGAAGGCCTCAAGATCTCACATAGGCAATAAAATGCGCCTAGCCCTTTGTATAGAAAATATAAAACTTCTAGGCCTTCTTTAGTCAGCCAAAGTCCTCTAAGTCTTCCACGGGCAATAGAAGACCCCCTAGGTCAAAAAATATAATACATCTAGGTTCACAGAGGGGAAAATACTCGAGCATTATAATTTTTTAGTAATTTATTTTTAATTAGAAAATGTATGTTTATACTTTTATAGGTAGCCATCAATGCCTGGATATGGTCGATTGTTTTTCATGCACGGGACAATCCTCTTACGGAGTTGCTGGACTACTCATTTGCCTATTCCATGGTTCTAATGACACTATACTGTATGGTAATGAGGTGAGATACATTTTTTGTTTTTTTAATTTTAAATTTATAAATTAAAAAACAAATTGTTTTTCTATTTTTTCAGAATGCTGTACAAACATTCCTGGCTAATAAAGGCCTTTATCTCCTTGGCATTTTTATCCTATTATATAAATTATTTTGCCTATATAACAATGGGACGATTTAGTTATTCCTTGAATATGACAACAAATGTTGTGACAGGTAGGGTATTCAAATTTTATTCTTAAAATATAATATTAACAAAGTTTCTTTTTGTAGGCATCTTAAGCGCTATGGGCTGGTTCCTTTGGTCATTTCGGGTGCGTAAACAACGACCATATTACCGTAAAATCTTAGCCTTCTATTTACTCTTGGGCATGAGTATGAGTCTAGAGCTATTAGATTTCCCGCCCATATTGTGGATATTAGATGCCCATGCTTTATGGCATTTATCTACGGTATTCATAATGAATCCATTGTATAGTTTTGCCATTGATGATTGTAGACTTTTGCGTACGGAAAAGTACTATGAATTAGTTGGTTTTGATAAAGAGATTTGAATTGAATGAAAACAAATACTATAACAAATAGGAACAAACATACTCATACCAAAAAATAGCTTACAAAAACAGAGTAAATACTAGTCAATAATAAAGTGTTTTATTACTTCATTTTTTCGATTAAATCAATAATATTTATGTGTGTACCTGAGATTTGACAAGTCTTTGCTTTGCACAATCCTTTTAACATTCAGAGATGTTATATTGTTTTTTTAATATATTTGCCATAGGAGATTATTAGTGAATACATACTTTACAACTGATTCATGCATTCTGAACGCAAATTTTCTGCAGACCACAAACAAAAAAATAATAGCCAAAGAAAGACAAAATAGTTACTGCTGGCATGCCATGACGAAACACCAATAAAAGTAGTAACTAACATTTTTGTTTTAATAGCAACTTTTAGTTTTATTCTTTATTGTATGACTGTATATAATTTTGTTGTATTTTATATAAAGAATATATAATTATTATTTGATTTTGTTATAATTGAGTACCAAATATATAATTAAAGATTTTTTCTTATTTCATTTCAAATATTCAGTTTCCACTTATATAAAACTGAGATCCTGGGATGTAAAGCCCAGAGGTTTTTTTTAATAAAAGACCTAGAGGGTTTTTTAATAAAAGACCTAGGGGTCTTCTATTGTCTAAAGAAGACCCATAGGTATTATATCATCTCTAAAAAACCCAGAGCAAAGTACAATGTTTAGAAAACTTTGTGGTGTTCCATTGTCGTCTATGAAAGATTCCCTTCAGCTCGTCTATGAAAGACTCCCTTCAGCTCCTCTATGAAAGACTCCCTTCAGCTCGTCAATGAAAGACTCCTTTCAGCTCGTCAATGAAAGACTCCCTTCAGCTCGTCAATGAAAGACTCCCTTCAGCTCGCCTATGAAAGACTCCCTTCAACTCGTCCAAAGAAGACACCCTTCAACTCGTCTAAAGAAGACTCCTGTCAGCTCCTCCAAAGATAACTTCCTTCAGCTAGTCAACAAAAACTCCCTTCCGCTCGCCTATGAAAGACTCCCTTCCATTGGCCAACAAAGACTCCCTTAAATTCGTCTAGCAAATACTCCTTTAAGATTGTCTAGGAAAGACTTCCTGCCAAAAACTTATTGTAAAATTCCCCTTTATACCCCTAATTTTAAAACCACCCATTAATAGGCTTGTTTTCAATACAAAAATCAAACCTTTACAATTTATTTAAGTCATTAAAAAATCTATGTATATACAAAACTACCTTTTACATTTGTCCACATTGTGATATAATAACTGGCAACTTGGGTTTATTATTCGGCCCTGTTGCTACATTTTCAATTTTACGCATTATCAACAGGCCATCCAAGACACGTCCGAATACAACATGTTTGCCATCGAGGAAATTACATTTTGCACATGTAATGAAAAATTGACAACCATTTGTATCTTTGCCACTATTGGCCATTGATAGCAGGCCGGGACTATCATGTTTCAGCGTGAAATTTTCATCGGAAAATGTGTTGCCATAAATGCTCATAACGCCGGTGCCATCACCCTACAAGGAAAGAAATTATGGATTACTATTTTTTTTATAAATTTTATTAGTTTCATAACTTACATGCACAAAATCCCCACCCTGTATCATAAAATCTTTGATAACACGATGAAAACTGGCTCCCTTATAGCCCAGTGGCACACCATCCGGTTGATATTCACCCGTACAGAATTGTCGAAAATTCTCTGCGGTTTTGGGTACGGTATCGGCAAATAATTCAAATATCATGCGGCCAATTTCCTGCATAGAAAAAAATCTAATTATTATGGGGAATTTTGTGGGTATGGAAGCCAAATACCAACCGTTGTTCCCACCGAGACATCAAAGAAAACCACTGGGTTATTGGGATTTCTTAATTGTGATTGTATTTGATTCCAAGTTGGCATAGTGGTTTATTAAATTAATTTATTTGATACAAAATAATATTAATTATATTGTTTAATATATATTTTAATTATATTTTTTTGATTTAATACTTAAAATTGTAAATAAACGTATAAATGCAGCAAAAAAGCCGTGGCAGCCGGTAACAAGTGAGTTTTTGTTTACATTGCTTCTTCTTCCTCCTCGTCTTCTGCGTAGATATTCACCGTGAGATGACAGCCCCTCTCTCTCAAGTCGTATGACAACATCATAACTTTGCCAGTTCACTGTTTAATTATTTGCTTTGCTTTTATTTTCCCACTCATTTCAACAATTCGAAATACTACTTAATAAATAATAAATAATATTTAATATATGCTTATATTATTCAATTAAATTAAAATTAATTTACATTATTTTATGACATTCTAATAACGGCATCAATAGGTGTCGTCTACGCTCTCATTTAAATCATACGCTTTGTTCAGTGCTCTCAGGTGATCAGCTGTTCTTCACGTGCAATCAAAACAAAAACATTCATGTTTTGTTTATGTCTGTTACACAGAAGAGGCCGTATACTGTGATTTTTTGCAAGAAGTTTGTGTGTTTTTAAAGAAATCATTAATAAAATAATTAAAAAGTGGCAAGTGTTTTAATAATTTATTTTATTTATATATACCAATTATTGTAGTCGGCATATTCGTGGCTTTTTGACGTTGGTTGGGACTACTTGAAGACCGTCTTGTAAAACCTAAAAAAAGAACAAAATAAAATATGAAAATGTTAATTTTTATAAACAAAAATTATTCAAATACTATATAACGAAGTGGACCACAGTTAAGGATTAAAACGAAAAACAAGAAATCCATGCAAAGGGTCTTAAAATAAGGTAAATATTTAGACTCAGATGGTAGAGAAGTTGGGACATCTGCTACAGGAAATTTGAGGTATGCAATTTTGAACATCTTTTTTAGAAACATATTCAAGATGTAATTTAATTTCAGTTTTTCTTCGATATCATGTTCTAATCTACCAATTTTTATTGCAGTAATGCTAATATTTGTTTTCGAACAGGGCCCGGTTACGGATCATTTTGAAAAATTTACCGGTAAACTAGCATTTCCTCTACGGACAGATGATAAAATCAAATACGAGATACAATCACTATTAAAAAAGTACCAATTTTTGGCAGTGCTTGGTTTAGGGATTTATGCATAATCGAAAACTTAATTGATTCAAAACAGAATGAGACATTCAAGGGACACAACGAAACTTTGATACCGTTACAAACTGGACGCCTAGAAGCACTAGGATGGTAAATATTTCAAAGCGATCTGCAACCGGGCCTTATCTCTTTTATGCCAGTTTTGATGTAAAAGAACTCTACACTCTATATTGGAAACATTCTGAGCCAATTTACAAAAAGTCGAAACGGAATTTTCGGACTATGTTAATTAAAATAACATATTTTTTTAATACTTATTATTTTTTTTATTAATTAAAATTGAACCATTGCAAAAGCATCATCGATACCAAAAAGTCTTGAGTCAGTAGGCAATATGGTCTGAATTGAATTATCAAATCAGTGTCCACTGATGTTCATTTTTTGATTGAAACAATTAAAGATACCCAACAGATGTCGTCCGACCAACAGAATTGTTCATACCTTTATTAATTTGTTTTTGTATATTACATGGGTGCGATGACATACAACATCATACATATGATTAATACACAAATTTACACACTACTATATACACCACTTTATACATATAATAGTTAAATTTTAATCAATCAATTAATTGATATGATGGGGGCTTGTTTCGATTGACGTACATTTTTATAATATATACGATCGGTATTTCCGGAAAATATTGTAAAAACTGCGAAGTTGCAATTATCATTTTCTTTTTAAAATTAGTAAAAAAGTATTTTTTTTAAATAAAAAAATACATTTCCCACTAATAAATACGAAACGGCTGGAGATAGAATCTTGAAATTTTGCGTGAGGGTCATTCTTGGTCCAAAGGTGACAGATAAGGCTGGGTTTTAGGAAATTCGTACTAGAACGGTACGAAAAGTACTAAATGTGATACCATTTCTATTTGGCGAACCGATAGAGCTAGAACTCTTTAAATAAGGGTCACTGATGGAGTGTAGAATAGATATAGCAAAGATTTTTTTGGACATTCGAACTATAAGTATGCGAAAAGTACTAAAATCTACTAAATTTAACTTTTAAGTAAACCAATTAAGCTGGAAACCTTGAAATTTGGAAATAAGGTTACTGTTAGAGTGTAGGATTGGGGTATGGATGTAGTTTTGGAAATTCATACTTATGGGTACTAAATTGTACTAAATTTGGTACAATATGAATTTTGTGCAAACTGATAGAAATGGAATCCTGCAATTTGGAGTTACGATCTTTGTTAGTATGTAGTATTGAGCTATGTTTTGGAAATTCGTACTAAATGGTACCAAATTTGTATTTGGGTGAAACGATAGAGCTGGAATCTTTAAATGCTTATGTTAGAATCACTGTTGGAGTGTAGGGTTTGGCTTTGTAGAAAGTTTTGGAAATTCGTGCTAATGTGTACTAAATATGGTACAAATTAAATTTTTGGTGAACCAATACAACTGGAATCCTGAAATTTGGCCCTAGGGTTACTGTTGGGATGTAGGATTGGGCTACGTAGAATATTTTGGACATTTATACTAATGTGTACAAAATGGTACCAAATGTGGATTTGGGTGAACAGATAGAGTTGGAATCTTAAAATTTGGTGTTAGGATCAAATAAGGATTTGAGTGAATCGATAGAGCTAGAATCTTGAAATTTGAAGTTAGGATCACTGTTGGGATGCAGAATTCAGATATGTATAAAGTTTTGGAAATTCGTACTAATGTGTACTAAATGACACTAAATTTGGTATAGTATGGACTAAAAGCTAACCGATAGAGCTGTAATCCTGAAATTGAGTATTACGATTTCCATTGGATTGCATGATTTCCATTGGAAGTTATGACAGTTTATATTAATGTTTACTAACTGGTACTTAATTTGGATTTGGGTGAAGCTATATTTGAAATTTTGTATAGAGCTAAATTTCTTTTGCGTGTTGGGTTGAGATTTGGAGGGTTTTGGAAAAAAATACTATAAGAGAACATAGGTACTAAATGTTCCAAAAGTGTTAATAATATTTGTATTGGATTTTAAATACTTCCCATATTCGCTAACGAAGTAGCGGGTACATGCTAGTTATTAACATAAAATTGTTTATTATCTAAAAACAACATTGGATTGTTTTCGATTTTTATGCCCCGACGATCCGGTATTTAATTTTCCAAGTCTTTTTCATTTTTTCTTCTTGTAAATTAATTAAAACGCACTTCTTCTTTTTTTGTTTTTATTGATAGTACAAGTCGTCATCATTATGACAGTTCAATATTTACATTGACCTTGTTTTGTACTACAACTGTGTGTGTGGATGATTGGTCGGTTGGTTGGTACATTTATACAAATTATATAAAAAATGCACAAAAATAAAATTAGAATTTTTACACTAAAATACATACATACATTAATTGAAAACAATTTATATATTATTACAAAAAAAATAAATAAATAATAAAAAAATCAAGAGAGAAAAGGATAAATACTTCGAACTTCAAATCAGCTTTTAGGGAAGATTTCAACTTATATTCAACTGTTACATTTTAAATCTTCAGTTGACATTCAAACATATTTTTTTTTTTTGAAAATTTCCCATTTGAAGTTAAAAATCATTTCGAAACTATGACTACATAAAATAGGGCTCCTTAAAAAATTATAAAAACTATATATGAGCGAGGACATTTAACGTCGAAATACAACTATAATATTATTGTTGTAATTACAAAAAATAAATAAATACAAATATTACATACAATTACATTTACATATAATACTATTTGATGGTGGTGTGGAGTGGTGGGGGATCGAACATGGAATTACAAATAATACAATAATGCTAATAGGACCGAACAAAAAAAAATTTCAAATTCTTGAAAATCTTCTCTTTTTTTCTAATTGCTTGCCTCATCCGTATCGACATCTTGAATATCTTTCAGTTTATTTTGTTGATTCTCCGCCGTGGCCTTCAGGAAACTTTGCATCATCGCATTGTTATCGACCACCAAAATCGGTGTACAACCATCCTTGAGATGTTCACTCTGTGATTCGTAAATTTCACGCGATATACTGCGGGTAAAGGAGAATCGCAACGACTTGGTGCGGGTAAGCTTCTTTTTGATTGGTGGTTTGCCGGTGGGGGGTTGTGGCTCTGACAGCATCTTTTCTTTTTCCGGTGTTGGGGGCAGTGAGGCGATTTCCATGGTGGCATCGCGCAATATGTCTTCGGCAAAGGCTTTTATCTCCGTCCAGGCGTCAACTGGAATGGGGGAAGGAAAAGGAAAATTTTGATTAGAATTGGTTTTTTAATTCATTCGCATATCCAACAAGTTGAAATATTTAAAAATATTTGAATTTAGTCAAATTTTAAAATTGTTTTTGAACACTAAAATATTTTCAATATTTTTCGAATATGAACATATTGGAAAATTTAGAATGTTTAAATATTCGAATTTTTCGAATATACACAAAATTCGAATTTTTTGAATATACACAATATTCGAAATTTTCGAATATACACAATATTCCAATTTTTCGAAAATAAACAAAATTCGACTTTTTCGAATATACACAATACTCTATTTTTTCGAATATTAAATAATATTCGAAAAGTTCGAATACTAAACTATACTCGAAAAGTTCGAAAATTAAAAATATTCGAATTTTATGGAATATTAAAAAATATTCTAATTTTCTAAATATTGAAATTAATTCAAAATTTTCGAATATTAAAAAAATATTAGAATTTTTCAAATTCAAAAATATTCAAAAATTTTAAATTTGCATAAATTTGATAACATCGATTTTCAGTTTCTATTTCTAAATCCGAATTTCAAACTTACCTATATCCTTTTCTGTCGCATGTTCATAGGTTACACAAAACCGAATAACATATTTGCCATTAACCATCGAAGGGATCATGTGCATCTTGCCCGAGTGATTTATTTGGGCCAACAACTCCTGGTTATAGGTATCGGCAGCTCTGAAACCCAAAAAAAAAAAACAATTTTTTTACTTTTCCATTCTATCCTATCTCCGACTACCTCTCAACTTACCTCATTCGGAAACAGACCAAACCCAAATAGACATCATTTCGAACTTCGAAACGATCATCTTTGCGAACCAACATTTCAAATTTCTTTGCCAGGGCCATGTGATTGCGAATATACGCCTGAAGACCGGTCAGACCATACGAACGGAAAACAAACCACAATTTGAGGGCACGAAAACGTCTCGACAACGGGATGCCATAATGGCGATAGTCAATGGCCTTCTCGTGTTCATGTTGCAGGTACAGGGGATTTACATTCAGGGCTGTCTTTAAGCTCATTACATCCTTGACCCACATGGCGGACGCATCGAAATTTGTTAGCAACAATTTATTGGGATTTGTATTGAATGAATCGGCATATTCCAAACCCTCAGCAAAGCGACGCATCTCGGGTAGCATAAATGAATTTCCCGCATAGGCACCATCCACATGGAACCATATGCTCGGCACTTCCTTACAAACTTTACCAATTTCGACGAGGTTATCAAAGGCACAGGCGCCCGTCGTTCCCACTGTTGCCACCACAAAGAATGGTGTTAGACCGGCGTTGGCATCATTTTGTATAGCTTGCCTCAGTAAATCGACGCGCATGCGTCCTCTTTCGTCAGCCTCAATTATACGCAGTTTGACCAGGGCCATTTTGGCCGCCTTCTCCACCGAGGAATGGGCCTCTTTACTGGCATAGGCAATCAGCTGTGGCAGGAAGACACTTTCGTGTATCTCTGATGTAAGGCCACGCAACTTATTGATCGCCCTGGAACGGGCTGTTATCATACACACGAGGGTGCATTCGGATGCTGAGCCTTGGAGGGCGCCACCACCACGACTGCCAGGTACATCTGTAATAAATGCTTTCGGTAAACCCAATGCCTTGGCGTACCAATCTAAAACGATTGTTTCCAATTCTGTTGAGGCGGGACAGGAGGCCTGCAAGGGAGGAGGGGAGGGGGTTAAAAATAATTGAAACTATGTAATATATAGTAAGATATTCGAATTTTTCGTATATAAAATTATTCGATGTTTCGAATATAAAAATGGTTTGAATTTTTCGAATATACAACATATTATTAACATTTGAATTTTCGTTTATTATTATTCCAATTCTATATTCAAAATTGTCAAATATTAAAATATTCGAATTTTATATAAATTTTTAAATTTTTCGAATATAGTGGAAATTTTGAATAACACACATAGATTTTCAAATATTTCAATTGTTTTAAATTTGATTTTTTTCGAAAAAAAAATCGTATATTTTTATATATATATATTTATTTAAAAATAATTTAATATATTATATTCGAATATAAAAAATATTCGAACATTTTATATTCGAAAATGCTTGTATATTTTATATTTAATTTTCTATTTATATAAAAATCGGATTTTTCGAATAATTTATATTAGAATTTTTCTAATATTTTATATTTGAATTTATTTAATATTTTATATTCAAAATTTTTTTAATATCAAAAATATTTAAATGTTATTTTCATAACATTTTATTTTCTAAATTTTTTTGAATATATATTGGAAAATGCTCGAATAATTTGTATTCAAAAATTTTCCAATAATTTATATTCGAAAATATTCGAATTTTTTCGAATATCATATATTCGAATTTTTCCAATATTTTTATTTCGATAAATTTTGATTATTTCGAATATAAAATATTGGAATATTTTTTTATTCGAAAAATTTCCGAAATTTTATATTCGAAAATTTTCAAATATTTTTTTTTTTTGACTCCATTATTTATTTTTTTTTTTTTCAATTTACTCACCCATGAAAATCCAATCGAGCCAATGGCACTGCTCAGCATATCACCCAATATGGATGGAAATGAATTTCCCGACGGGAAATAGGCAAAGAATTTCGGATGGTTCCAATGGACAACACCGGGCATCACCTTCTTTTCGAAATCATCCAAAACCGTTTCGAATTTTTCTGGCTTGAGGGGGGCTTTGTCTGCAAAAGAAGAGAGCAAAAAAATAATCAGTCATCAAATCAATTCGAAATTAATGACCCTGGGCAAAGAAGAAGTAGATAATTCACAATATTTACACCTACAACAAAAAGGGGATGAAAAAGAAAAACAACAACAACAAACAATTAACACATAAACGATTAGTGATGCTGATGCTGATGCCGACACCCACAATTCGGCGTGTGTGGGTCCATTGTTTATTCTGCCGGGTTAATATCAATCGGCAAACCGCAAACCGTTTCAGAATCCTACATACAAACGTATGTATGTGTACGTGTACTAACATACATACATATTTATTTATGTTTAATAGTCATCGCAACAATTATAAACAATTTTCACTTTGTTTCTCTATTTTTTATTTTTTTGCAAAGAGTGTACGTCTGTGTTTAGTGGGAGGATGGGAACTGATAAAAGGTGTTGGCCACATTTAATCGATTGGCAAGGCAAGGTGGTGATGTTAATGAAAAAAAAACAGTCTTGACTACATAAAGAAAATTTGAAAGAATTGCCACAAATGAACTGACACTGCTTCGATTGCGGCTAGGTTCGTTAGTTCTAGGTTCGAATGTATGTTCGCCACTTAAATGTTTATAAATAATTGTATTTATTTTAAACAAAATACGAAGAAGAAGAAAAACAAAAATAAAAACAAAATCATCATCCTCATCATCAACTAGGAATGCCCTGATCTGCCCCGCTGGCACAGGTGTTTTATGATTTCGATGTTTTTTTATTCACTTTTTTTCGATAGTGAATAATTTTGTAGTTGTTCTGACCACTTGTATTGGGTTCGAAAAAAAGAAAAAAAAAACGAAATTGAAAGTTTCCACAAAATGTTGTTGTTGTTTTGAAATGTTTACATCAAAGTTTGACACATTGTTTAGAAATGTTGAAGTTCAGAGTGTCAATAACATTTAGCCATGGGCCGGCCATCATGCCAAAACAATGGCAACAAGAAATTAATAGTTTTGAAAAAATAAAAGAATTTATTCAAAAAAAAAAAAAATGTTATCAAGGTCGTATTGGAATGGAAAAATGGATATCCGAGCATTGATTATCGAATATATAAAATATACTTAGGTATATTTAAAAATGTATTTTTAAAGGGAGAAACAAATCTTGGTTTTTTTTTTCAAAAACTATTTATTCAAGGACTTTTTGAGGAGAGGTTTTTTCAAAGAATATTTTTTCAATGACCTGAGTCTTCCTGGGCTGGATTTTCTGAAAAATATTTTTTTTTCAAGGAGCATCCGAGGTTTGCTGGTTTTTAAGGACATTTTTTACAAGGAATTTCCAAGATTTTCTAGTGAATTTTCAAAAGAAGATTTTTTTAAGAACTATCTGAGGCTAGGATTTTGTAAAGAATATTTTTTCAACAAAATCAAAACGTTAAAAACCACGCCTATTTTTTAATCCTTGAAAAAGTATTAATAATACCAATTATGCCTATCCTTAAAAACTTTTATTTGAAAAGCCCACTCATCAGATAGTCCTGGAAAAGAATTCCTTAAAAAAATAAAAATTATTTTTAAATATCCGGGAATATCAAAGTCTTTGAAAAAAATATATTTTTTTAAGAACCTGCATTATGTTGGTCCTTAAAAAATATATTTTTTAACTCACTCACGACTAACGAAATCCTTGAAGAAAAATATATATTTTTTAAATCCCACGACTATTAAAATCCTTGAAAAGGTATTTTTTTTAATCTACGCCTATACATATGTCTTGAAAATATATAAGTTTTTTTTTTTAATTCCACGACTATTGAAATTAGTGATTGATTTTTTTTTTAATAAAAAATATTAAAAAATTTGTTCAAAAGGGTCTTTGAAACCCTATTTTTTTAAATATTAACAAAAAATAGTTTGAAAGGGACTGCACAAAGCTATAATACCCTGACAACATAGTTGTGTAGCTTTGTGCAGCTCCAAGAGTTTGTAACGCCTCGAAATATTGGTCCTAGACCCACCATTAAGTATACCGATCGTCATATCTCGACTAGCTGAGTCGATCTAGATATGTGTGTCCGTCCGTCTGTTCATTATAATTTGTAAACACGATACAGGCCACAGTTATAGAAATTTTGCATGCAGGATGGTTTCTGGCCAATGAAGACCCCTATTGTGGCCTCAATTATGGCCCAAACATAGCGAATTTTTACATGGAAAAGGGGATCCGGCCAAAGAATAAGTATGCCTGTTTTGATAAAAATCGGTCAATATTTAACGGGTCAAATGGACCCTGACTTTTGTGTGGAAAATTACAAAATCTTTTTTCTATGGCGTATATATATATATATATATATATACCCCTGAAGGACATAGACCCGTGAAATTGATAATATATCCAAGAGGAGTGGTTAATCTTTCAATTGATACCAATTATATTGTCGTATGTACTCGAATGTGGGAGTTAGACTTAAGGGGACCCCCCCCATTCTCGGGGTCAAAATTTTTGTTGACATAATTCGAATCTACACTGATTAAGGAATGTCTCTACAAAATTTCAAGTGAAAATCTCAAGAACTCTTGAAGATATATCTGATTTATTGTGTCCGCATCAAGTGACGGCTGAAGAGCTTCTCAAACTTTAAACGCGTTTTTCTCTAAACATTTTTTTGCGAATGGCGGGCACGATAACTAAAAACTAATAATCCAATCGGTTCCAAATTTTGCAACGTTTCTCTGGGAGTGTATAGCTCTCGTATGAACTAGGATAAAGCCAATCGGTGAAGATCTTCCTTATTTTTTAGCTTGGTTTTTGGTCAAAAATAAAAATATTTTTTCAAAGGTCCACCATTTTGTTAATTTTAGAGCGAAGTCAATAATCCTAGTTCATACGAGAGCCAGACATGTACTCTTTCTAACACCGTTGGAATTTTCGGATTCCGATGTTCCAGTGAGGAGTTATCATGCCCGCCATCAAAAATAAGGACTTTTCTTTAATTACAAAAAACAACAACAAAACAATAACAAAATTTTGTTGTAAATTATTTTTCTTCTCTTTTAAATCTTCAATTGTATATGTGTAAAGTTACAAACCTTAACAAGCATTGGTATTGATTTACCAGCCCATTGAAAATCTTGAAAAAATAAAATCGAGAATGGGGGGGGTTCCCTTAAATATTTTTAGGTGCTTACGTATTCATATATTATTTAGTAACCCATTACCACACTAGATGGCGGAAATTTATTTTTGAAATTTTACGCGAAATATTGCCCAAGCTCAAAATATAGAACAACAGAACCTTAAAAAAATTTTTTCTTAAAAATCCACGCCTATTGAAGTCATAGGTAACAATTTTTCAGCTTTAATAATTTGTATATGAAATAATTCTTAGCTATAAGTTTCATATTTTAATTATTTTTTATGAAGGACTATCAGGACTATAATATCGAATTTTTGAAATAATTTAATTTAATAAAAATAATAATAAAGGCCTATTACAGCTATAAACTTGCTTTCTTTTTATTATTTTTTTTTAAATAATTTTTATAAAGGATTATTTGGCCTGTAGCCCGGATTTTTATAATAATTTTTTAAAGACTATCAGAGGTAGAATTATAGATTTTTTAGGCATGCTAGGCTTATTGAATTTTTAAAGAAAATTAAAAAATTAATTATTTGGGCTATAAATCTAAATAAGTTTTTTTTCTATTATATATTACGGTATCCAAAATTATTCCACAAAAAATTATTTATTCCTTTTTTTGATAATTCTTTAGTCGTCATTATAGGCGATTTCTTCAAAATTGTATCATCATCTTCAAACGATAAATTCTGAAAACACCTCGTAGCTTGTTCTGTATTAATAATACTAATCAGTATTTATTTATTTTTTTTCTTGCAATTAATTTAATTTATTACTTTACGGGAAAATTTTGCCAGGCGTTTTGTTTGCCGACAAATGAAAATTCATGGAAAATTTTGTTTTTTTTTTTTTTTTTGCTCTGAGGTAAATGGGGAAACCATAAATTTTCCGATAAAATTTAATGTTTAGTTTATTAGCTCAACGGTTAGGCATTTTTCCAGCAACTAAGTTTTTTTTCCAAGTTAGTAAACAATTTTTGAAATTTTATATTGAATTAAGAGTTTAGGAAAAAATATGGTGGAAATAGGATTTTATTTTTCATATTGCTGAATATGTGACATATAATGTGTTAAAAAAATAATAATATCGGTATAAAATATTATTTTTTTTATTGTTAACAATTTATATATGATTTTGTTTCAGTGTTAAATTCAGTTTTTTTAAATAAAATGTATTTTTTTTATAAAAAATCATTTTTTTATACCAAATAATTTGAATTTCCAATTCTTTGCAACAATTTAAAATGATTTAAAAACTATTTTCATTTGTTGTTTAAATTTCCCGCATATTTAGTAACAACAACAATAAAAAGGTGCAAATTATTTGTTAAAGGAAAATAAAAAACATATTTTAGCATCTGCAGTAAAATGCGCAAATTTTCACACTTAATAAAATCAAAAGTAATTAATTATCAAGTCATCAGCAAAATTGGCTATTAATTATTTTCCAAAAAGTTTATAAAAATCTATTCAAAAAATTAAGGAAAAAACAAGCAATTAACAAAAATAGCGAAAATATTTCATTTCCATAAAATTGCGAAATTGTTAATTTTCAAATATTTTTTGCCGATATGAGTTTTCAATTTGTTACTAAATTTATGCGTTCAAATATTGAATATCTATTTTACATAAATAAACAAAAATTTTGAAAACAATAGGCGGTATATATGTCAATCAGTAGTGTGTCTGTTTGTCGGTATTATTTATATTGTCTGACACATTGAGTACAATATTTTTTAGTGAGATATTAAATATTATTTATTTATATTTGAGTTATGCGATATTCAAAAATAATTTTGTTTTTGAGATAAATTGAGAGAATTGATAAACATTTCATAATCGTTGTGGGGGTGGTGGTGGTGGTATTCCGACGGACAGGTGTCAACCATGAAAAAGTTAATAAACAAAAAAAATTCCAAAAAGAGAATATTAAAAAAAAATAATAATAATCTTTTACAAAAAATTAATAATCTTTTTCAATATTTTCAAAAAATATTTTTGTTAATTGTTTTTTTTTTTAATATTTTTGTCAATATGTATTGATAATTTCTTTTTAAATTGAATCTTCTTCTCGATATTTTTAATTTCATAAAAAATGTTTTAAATATCTTTTTTCCAAAAATATTTTTTCATTACAATTTTTTTCAATTAAAAACTATTTTCATACTTAAAAATAAATAATTTTTTCAGTATTTTCAATTTAAAAATATTTTCATTTTCATAAAAATATATATTTTTTCAATATTTTCAATTTAATTTTTTTGCATTTTCCACATCAAACGTCAAAGTTAGTTCATTCTTAAAAAATATGTATTTTTTCAATATTTTCAATTTAAAATTTTTTGCATTTTCAACATATTTTTCATTTTTTTAGTTTTTTTTAACTTTATCTTCTTTATATTTTTAATAAGTTTTTTGTTTGATTTATTATTTTTTTTTGCCTACCTGGTATCAACTGTTTCAAATAACCCGGATCCAATGTGGGCGCCACATCACGCTGACCAATATTTTCGGCATAATTGCAAATATAATCGATCATGTCTTTGCCATGTTTTCTAAAATCTTCCACATTCATTTTTTATTTTTTCGATTTATTTTACAATTCCTTTTTAAAACACTTTCGATTTTTTTCAAATATGAAATTTATATATTTTGTTTTTAAATATTTTTATTGCTATTTTTATTTTTAATACACAATAAAAATTATGTTTTATCACTTAAAATATATTTTATTTTACAATTAATCTCTTTAGGTTTAGATTTTTTATTTTAATTTTATTTCTATTTTTTTCAAATTCACTTTTTCCCTTTTTTTTCCTTCTTTGAAACGCGACGCGTCTAGTATTGGCGACTATCGGTTTTTGAGTGATCATTGGCTATTGAATTTGCTAAGGTTTTATATTCGAATCTTTGCAAACAAAAAAGAGAACACAATAAACATTCTCTCCCACTCTTTTATTGATGCAGAGGTGATCTCTGTGTGTATCGCTCTCTTTCTCTCTCTAAAATATACAAAACATAAATCACAATTTGTCTTACCTGTCGAAATGCAAAACTAAGAAGAAAAGCAACAAAACAAGAGATTTTCAATATTCTCAGGTTTTGATTTCGAATCGCAAAACGTAGGCAAGGTATGTACTCTTTCTTTTTTTTTTTGCCAAATTATTATTTTTAAGTAAAAACCCAATTAACACCAATTTAATGAAGTTACAAAGCTGTGAAATAACAATCGAATAATGTTCGTAAATCCCCTCCAAATGAAAAAATTGAAGTTTTGTTGTTGTTGCTAACACATCCGACACATCCACATCCGAGTTCATACGACGGTATAATTGATATCAATTTAAAGACCAACCATTCCTCTTGGATATACTATCAACTTGGGGGGTCTATGTCCTTCAGGAGTAAATACATACGTTATAGAAACACACAAAAGTCAGGGTCCATTTGACCCACTAAATATTGACCGATCTGTAAAATGTAAAAATTCCCGACCAGAAAAACCGACAAAAATTATGTATTTGGTCCATTTCATCCCCTAAATATTAACCGATCTTTACCAAAAAAAAAATAGGGGTCATGGGCCAGAACCCATCCTACATGCGAAATTTCGTGAAGATTGGTCCATAACTGTGCCCTGTACCGTGTTTACAAATTATAATGGACAGACGGATGGACGAAACAAATGAAATAAACTGAGTTTGTTTGTTTGAAGATTCTAACGAGTATTATTAACTCGATTAACAGCAAAAAGGAACTTAACATATTTAAAAACGTTAATTTTTAAATCGTATCCGAGGTTGCGTATAAGTATTGTCACAACGTATACGTCACCAATACAAAGATTCCCATAGATTCCCGGATCTACTAAAAATATTTTAGTAGATCAACAAACGGGTATTTTGGTATGTGTCGAATAGGTGGTATGTGTCGATGTGTTTTTTGTGGGTCTTTTCCAGGATTTGGCGCAGAGTGAAAATCTGCTCAATGGTGGATTTGCCAGGTTTGAAGCCGCATTGGTATGGTCCAATAATATCATTGACCATTGGCTTCAATCGTTCACACAGCACACTGGATAGCACTTTATATGCGATGGGAAGAAGGCTAATTCCTCTATAGTTGGCACATATCGTCTTGTCTCCTTTTTTGTGCACGGGACACAGGATGCTGAGTGATTCCAATCATTGGACATGCATTCCTCCAGCCAAATTGTACTAATCAGCTGGTGCATGCTCCTGACCAGCATCTGACCACCAGTCTTGAATAGTTCGGCTGGTAACCCGTCGGCTCCTGTTGCTTTATTGTTCTTGAGCCGATTAATTGCTGTTATGACCTCATCTTGGCTAGGTGGTATACACTCTATACCATCATCTTCTTTTGGTTCTGGGGTATCTTCTTCACCGCCACTATTTGATATCAGTAGCTTTTCAAAATGTCCCTTCCTTCTCTATCTGTCACCAGGTTTCCTTCTTTATCTCTACAGGAGGATGTGCCTGCCTGCACCAAAACCTTCGGTTTGTTGTTTTACCCGTTGGTAGAATTTTTGGACTTCATTCTGACTCCTGTACATCTCTAATTGCCCACGCTCACGTTTTTCTTGTTCTTTATTCTTTTTTTATCTGAAAATCGATCGTTTCTCCTCTCTCCTTTTCTCCCAATAATTCTCCATCACATTATGTGTTGCTACTGTCTGCAGGGTTGCCCCATACGCTGCGTTTTTAACATCAGTAGTATTACGACACTCCTGATCGTACCATGGCTTTCTTGGTGCTGGATTTTGGTACCCAAGTGTTGCTTTTGCTGCATTTTTTAAGGAGTGGGCAATTCTTTGCCATTGTGCTTCTACACTATTATCGGGACAAGGGGTGCTTTCATCAAGCAGTTGGGTAAGTTGAGCGGAATAGGCCTCGGCTGCCTATTGTGTTTGCAGCTTTTCGATGTCGAGTTTTCGTGTCGTGTTAGATTGCACCTTTGCTGCAACATTAAGACGAGTGTGAACTGTGGCTGCTACAAGGAAGTGGTCCGAATCGATATTCGTTCCTCGGATCGATCGAACGTCTAATACACTGGATGAATGCCTTCCGTCTATCACGACATGATTGATTTGATTTCTCGTTGTTCGATCGGGAGAAATCCAAGTGGCCTGGTGTATATCGAGATGCTTGAATCTGGTGCTGCTAACTACCATGTTTTTGTTTTTGCTGCCGCGAAGTCAATAAACCACATGCCGTTGTCGGAAATTTCATCATGAAGGCTGAATTTTCCGACGGTGGGGCCAAAGATATTTTCCCCTCTGATTTTTGCATTAAAATCTCCTAGCAGAATTTTAATGTCATGGCCAGGACAGCGATCATATGCTGTTTCTAGGCACTCGTAAAATATGTCTTTGGTCTGTTCATCTTTGTCTTCGGTCGGAGCATGGTCGCAAATAAGACTGATGTAGAAGAACTTCGTTTGAACTCGCGGCACATATTAGCATGATGAAAATAGCTACCCCAGGTGACACCGCGGGGAGGTCAGTGTCCACAATTGAGATGAAAGGGGGGACCAAGATAAGCCTGGGCTTCGCCATATTAAAGCCAATCAGAGCCATTCGCTCAAATGTCAGGTGCTAATGAACGCCAATTATGAAAATTGGATACTCAATGTTTAGTCATTACTTTCAAAATAAAATCTGTAAGATTTGAAATCTTTCTCTTGGAAATCCCTGTGGAAAATTAGCAAACAAAATCATGAATTGTTACTAATCTTTCAAATCGAAAAAAAACACCGCAGCTATCTGCAAAGTCATGGAATTATACAATAAATGTGCAAAAAAAACGTAGCATTTTAATTAAATTTCAATTAACTGCAAATTGAGTGGAACACAAAAAACTCCCTCTCTCTACACCCCCTCTCTCTTCACCAAACTGTACGACACACAATTCACGTGCTAACTTGACGATGCTAAAAAATCAATTCAACAGCTTTGGCAGAAATGACAGCGACACGAAACGTCAAGTGATGCTAGACATGCAACGCCACCAGCTACTGCTGTCACGACACACGCCACGCCACGCTACAGACAAAGTTGTTGTGTGACGTAAAAAGTTTGTTAGCTGTCATCAACCACCAGGTATTGGCCTCTAGCTTCCGTTTATCTGGCCAAAAATTAAAAAAATACTTTGTTGGGATAATCCAGATTAGACAAAAATTTATTTTTAAAACTTTGCGATTTGCATAGCAAAAAATATTACTCAACTGCGGTATTAACCCATTGTTGGCAGCGAACAATTTATACATTAAAACATTTTTTTAGTTCACGATGGAATTTATCCTGTTCCGTGGAATTTTTTAAAAATATTTTTTCAACGAATCCAAGTTTGTTGATCTACGAAAATATTTTCTTTAGTAGATCGGGATTCTATGGAAATCTATGTATCAATTGGAGGCGTATACGTTGTGACAATACTTATACGCAACATCGGGCAATATTTAAAAATGGATATTTTTTCAAAGACTCCCAGAGTAGTGGATTTTTAAAGAAATTTTTTTCAAAGACTTCCAGAGACGTAGAGTTATTAAAGGATATTTTTTTCGCTGACTTCCAGAGACGTTGATTTTTTAAAGCATATTTTTTTCACTGAATTCCAGAGGCGTGGATTTTTTAATGAACATTTTTTCAAAGACTGCCAGAGGCGTGGATTTTTTAAAGGGTATTTTTTTCCAGGACCAACCAAGGCGTGGATTTTTTAAAGGATATTTTTTCCAGGACCAAACAAAGCGTGGATTTTTTAAAGGATATTTTTTCCACGACCAGCCAAGGCGTGGATTTTTTAAAGGATATTTTTTCAAACACTGCCAGAGGCGTGAATTTTTTAAAGGATATTTTTTCAAAGACTTCCAGAGGCGTGGATTTTTTAAAGAATATTTTTTCAAAGACTCCCAGAGTAGTGGATTTTTTTAAAGGATATTTTTTTAAGGATATTTTTTCAAAGACTGCCAGAGGCGTGGATTTTTTGAAGGATATTTTTTCAAAGACTGCCAGAGGCGTGGATTTTTTAAAGGATATTTTTCAAAGACTGACAGAGGCGTGGATTTTTTAAAGGATATTTTTTCAAAGACTGACAGAGGCGTGGATTTTTTAAAGGATATTTTTTCAAAGACTGACAGAGGCGTGGATTTTTTAAAGGATATTTTTTCAAAGACTGACAGAGGCGTGGATTTGTTAAAGGATATTTTTTCAAAGACTGCCAGAAGCGTGGATTTTTTAAAGGATATTTTTTCAAAGACTGCCAGAAGCGTGGATTTTTTAAAGGATATTTTTTCAAAGCATCCTCAGTCCCACAGGCGTGGATTTTTTAAAGGATATTTTTTCAAAGACTGCCAGAGTCGTGGATTTTTTAAAGGATATTTTTTCAAAGACTGCCAGAGGCGTGGATGTTTTTAAAGGATATTTTTTCAAAGACTTCCAGACGTGTGGTTTTTGTTAAATGATATTTTTTCAAAGACTTCCAGAGGTGTGGTTTTTGTTAAAGGATATTTTTTCAAAGACTTCCAGAGGCGTGGATTTTTTAAAAAAATATTTTTTCAAAGACTTCCAGAGGCGTGGAT